CCTTAAAATAAACAAAAAATATTAGGGGTAGACTACCCCTAACATTTAGGGGGGTGAAAAATAGATGTTGGCCGATTCTCAGACCTACTCAATACGCTCACAAAATATCATGAGAATCGGTCAAGCCGTATCGGAGGAGTATGGGAACGAAAACTATGACACGAGAATTTTATATATAAAATATTCATTATTAATCATAATAGAAACTTTTGTTATGCGTTGTATATATGTACAATTAGCAAGTACAAAACGAAATATCTCATTTAAATAACTACATGAAAATATTAAAACAAAACTCCATAATAGTTTCCAAAAAACGACAGGAAAATGGCGGCTATTATGATGAAATTGCGTTATTTGAAAAAATATTTTATTTAAACTTTCTATAATGCAGCTAAACATTATAGAAAGTTTAAATAAAATATTTGAGACCACTTTCGTTATGATTAATTTATATCAGACGATTAAAAACAATTCTATATTTATAATTTCTAAATTCAAAGCAAGGACTTGGAAAATTACGAACATGGAAAGGTCGACTTCTGTTCAATTTAAATACTTTATACACATGTTTGAAGTATTAAAAGTTATTATAAACATTGAGGCATGAGGCATTTCAAGAAGGTTCTTAAAAAGTCATATTGTGAATATATTACCATAATTATACTGTGTACAATACCATTCACTTATGTACTTTTATTATGAAATAGCCTGTACTATCAATACCATGGCAGTGTGTTATCATATTTTCAAGGATAGCACGTAAAATTACTTAAACGTCAATGAAATATACACCGTAATTAAAACTAATCGTTTAATTGTAGTTTCTATTAATTAATTATGTTTATATTAATTATATTCTACAGGTACTATATTACTACTAAGAAAAATGATAGTCACAGAACTTTAAACCTATGATTGCTAAATATTTCTAAACTGTAAATGGTTATATATATAAGACATAAGAAATGTTATTTTTAAGCATATAATTGGAAGAATAATAAGTTGTTTTAACTGTAATGCAATCTTTTTTAAATAACCACTGCAAAGATGGTTTGATAAATGAACAACAGAGTACCTATTTAATGACTTTAAATAAGAAAAATTAAACATATACATATAACCGTATAAGTACGGCAATATGTATATGTTTTTATTTTATTTTTATATTTTTTTTTTATTAATATTTTATTTTTCTAAATTAAATACTCTTAGGTTTGGTTTGGAAAATTGTTGAATAATCCTATTTTTTATACTAAAGGAACATCTATAAATAAATAACCATGTGCAATTAACATGGCATTGACAAATCTATGGAACCAAAAGTAATATAAATTCAAAATCATGGATATAAAAAATGCAATACAATAAATACTTAATAATGTCATCTTAAACGAACACTCTTTTTATTGTTATTGCCCGTTCATCCCATAGCGCTCATTATTTTTATTACTGTAGACTCCATTTCATAAAATTATTGTATGGAAGTTTTACCGATAAATACGGCACCGATCGGTTACTACATTACAATGACATGGAAACCTTTCCAAATTGTGTCAATTAACTTTTACATCGCTCGATGCAAAATAAAACCTAAATGATATACAAAAAGATGCAATTCAATGTACAGTTATACACGCAACCAATGAACTTGCGACCTAGATATGATATCTGATGCAACATATACATATGTATTATTATATTTAGCTGAAAGTAATACTTGTAAGATTTTGTATGTACGTAATGTGAATTATCAAACGAATGAATTTGGAAAAACACACTTGCAATATAATAATCTTAGCAACGGCTGATAGAATTTCCATAAGACATAGACTAGTTATTTTTTATATCTATATCCTCTATATATCATTAATCATCTCTGAGGTGTTCGAAGGAAAACCTTCTACTCACTTTTATTCTTACAATATAGACAAAATTATCCTTACACTAAAGTGGGGAATACTGCTGCGTTTGTTCGGTAAACCCTATATAATTACGTTGTACATACCATGTACATCAGGAAGGAGTATTAAATACTCTAAAGATATGTATATATTTTATTATTTACGTTACATAATGTTATTAATACTCGTACTCTCAGCGAGCTGACAAATGTCGCAATCTTAACGGCGTTGAAAATTTCTCTGAAATTAATTAGTTTCTATATATACCTAAATATTAAACTATTTGTATATTATAGGTCGACATAAACAAGAAGGTCAGTGTTGTTGTGATGCCCATAAACATATTATCATGAATTGTATTAGATAATACGCGAAATATGAAAGTTTCTTGCTGACCCTGATTACTGGAGGCATCGTTACAATGAGGTTAGTTAACTCATTTCTAATTATATCTAAGTTTGTAAACAACTTTATTCTAACCATTAAATTAAATTATTTACTTTTTGTAAATTAATTATCAGTATTTATTCTATTTCAATTAGAACGTAAAGAGTCTTTACGTAAAAATATATTTGACCTTATTGTTATTTCATAAAATATAAATGTTACGTTAAACTTCGTTAAACTGGCAGCGGCTAACTAAAGTTAGTGACATAATTCCAAATACCACAGACTTATTGCAAAATATTGCAATATAAAGTGTTACTGCTTACAACAGTGCTCTGTCAGACTCGGTGGACTAAAGTATAATCTAATCCTAAAAATTTTAGCTTAATGTGAAAAAATAAACCTAAAATTCTTGATGCTATAAAACATATCTAGGCTAAAATATAAGTATTCTTTTTTTAAATTAATAATTTCTTTACATCGACAGAAATACATACACATGTATACATATATGTTATAATCTATCATTCAATCTATCATTTTTTATTACGAGAATAAATAGTTCCCAATCGGTTACAATTACGTAAAGGCCACTGAGAACTAATTGCAACACAATGTCTACTCGTACTAACGAGGTAACATACATATAGACCGTGCCTATCCTCGTCACGTTACTTTAAATATGGTGCAAACATTTAACATGGTCTAATTGAACAACTGAATGTCATCTCTAACAAGACCATTAATACATTAAAAGTAAAAAAAAAAAAAAACATTAAAAGTATTTGTAATATCTGGTCAAAAGAGAACTTATATAGACTGGCCTTAAAGGAAACTATAGGTTTTCATAAGGTAGATTTATTCTTTTTATAGCCTTATAGTACATTTGGTTTGGTTACACGATAATGTGTGATAATAATACGAACTCATATCAGTTAGGCGGTCAAAGCAGTGCGTTGCATCACCGCCGAACTGCTTCCGCGCTCACCGGAGCTAAGGAAGTATTTTTTTTCGTACTATGGCAACGACGACTCCATGTTTTTATTAAACTAATTGATGAGTTCGTTATAATCTTCCGACTATCTTTAACTTACATCAGATCAGATCTAATTCTGATTTAAATTATAGTGAAAGTTGAATGTACCATGAAATTATATCACTATTATAAATATTCTAGTTACTTCATCGCTTTCTATTACTAATCATTAATTTGTTCTCAATAATAATTAGATTAAAAGATGATGAGCATATTATCAATTTTACATTTTGACCATAAATAACAAAAAATTCACAATTGGCGTTGAATTTCAATTTGGTATTGTTAGTTTTTTTTTTCAAATCGTTAATATACTTATTTGAAAACAATAATAAATCGTTTGCAGTCGCTGGCATTTATTAAATACAAAATTAATTACTTAAGTCTATTCTAAATAAAATAACAGTAGAATTTTGTTATACGTAATTGAAAGTAAAGGCGTTGGAGTAAGTTATAGAAATTCTTTTTACGTTCAATAAAACTCACATTACCATTAAAGAGCAAACTGTGAATACTGAAATCATAAATGACATTATGACAAGGCAGGCATTATGTCAGGCAGAGATAAACTCTTAAGGAGTGTGAGATATAGAAGAAAACAAATAAGCAGAAATAAAATAATAATTTCAATAGAAACATAGGTACAAAAACAACCATATAGTGTGACGATCTTGGGTATACAGGGTAATAAGTATAATTTGTTGAATCTTATTTCAAGAAATACCAATAATGGAAAATAAATAAATAAAACAATATTTTTTTCTTCAAACTTTCTGTATTTTAGTTGTAATAAATTTAACACACATACCTATATGTTTTAAATTTACTGGACTGTAAATCCTAACCTGTATAGTATAGATACTTTATTGCATAATAATACGATACCTTCCGCATAGCCAGGCTACCGCCGCGAGGCGCAGTTTAGGAAGTCAGGCCGAAGTTCTCGACCGCCGTGGAAAATTACCCTTCGAAACGCCTGAGTAACATAAATTACTATCTCATTATATATTATTGATATCAACATGTGCATTCAATCCGTTAAGTAAGACCCGCCAATTTATTCCATGATAACGCTAAACCTTCACAAACCTGAGGGGGCCATTTCATTTTATAATAGGAAAAAATAATATAAATTACTATATTTATAATAAGACATTTAAGAATAATGCGAATTTTATTTAAGAATGATATTTACTCTTGTTATTAGTATCAATTTTAATGAAATTCATTAATAATCATATCAGTTACATGCAAATACTATAAGAAGGTTTAGAAATAACTTGAAAAGAAATTTATTACCGAACTTTTATGTCTAATACAGTGTAAAACAATTCAAATTTGATAGATATATTAACAAATCATATTAGTAACCTATATTGTGCATAACAGTAAAAAAAGAGAACGTATACTATGTGCGCAGTAGCATGGTTCGGGTAACATTTTCAGTAACGTTAAGTTTCACTCTTAAAATTTGCCGTGATTTATAAATTATGACTCAGTATTTCAGCTGTACCACATTCGTAATATATTAAATCTTTAATAACTGTATTAACTTAAATGTAGCAATTGTTAAATGTAAAATCAGTAACTGTCACCCGCACCATGCTACAGCGCACACAGTATAGTTCCATAGAATTACACTAAAAATTAAATTATTATTTTATTCTTTCCAGGAACAGTGATATGATCAGACTTCATTTGACAGATAGACACCTCCGCGTAATGTTGTGGTGCATCTTACTGGGTCTGCAACCAGCTTTTGCCGGTATATTAGATCCCTTCAACTGGGCTCGATCAGATCGTATCGAGGTTAACATTCCCTGGCTACCATGTAAGATTTTGTTTATACCGTTTTTTTTTTTGTAAATATGCATACATAGTATATGTCAAAAACACACAGACTGATACAAATAATAATACTTATGAATACCGTGCGAGAAATCATTTGAAGTAAAGCGGTGTGCTAAACCGCTATACCACTAGAAATATATTCAACAATTGTAATATAATATATATTACAATTATTGAATTATTTATTTAATTATTTTATAAAGAGTTTACCATACATATAATATTATTTTATAATTAACATATAGCTATTACACAATTGAGTATTATATAATAAGCAATAACGTGCCTGCATTAAAATTATCTTTTTGTACGGTTCTTCCGCAAACACACATCAGTTAATATTTAGTTGAGTGCCATACGGACATTGATTATTTGAGTTCATAGTAATCAAGTACGCAAAATTATTATTCATTATGTAAATTTTCTGCGAACAACAATTTGCTTTTAGTCAAATTATACAGACATTAGGTAGACATATAACAAATAAACATTGACATAGAAAGTTCCAATACATGTTTACCTGACAATTTCTATGTTTATTTATACTTATAAATGAACCTACCAAAAAATTTTACAGTCATTCTATAGTAATTGTAAATATTTAGTAATATATTTTTATATTGGGTACTTTTTATAATATATGTAGAGTTTTGAAAGTCAATAAAATTTCAACAATAACAATTAACTAGGCAGACTAAGTAACAAAAAATATATAATTTTATAAATACATAAGGAAGTAAGGTAATTATAATGCGGGTATATATACTTTAACTGCCATGATATGACAGATTTATAATATAAGAAATATAAAAGTTATTATTGGTATTATATTGGTCTGCTGTTTTTTAAATTAATATGCCGAGAAGCTCAGCCACTGTAAAACACTAATAAGATAACTGTGAATGGAGTTTGTGGTCGTTAATATAATGTCGTTTCAATTGTTTATTTCTACTTTATAACTCACTATCTTTGTCAAATTACTATATAATACTGATTTATACAATTTAAAATAAATAGCAAAAGGAATCAGTATCTATATAAAATTTCAAAAGAACAAAATCAACAGACTCTTAAAATGAGCATTTACATAAGGAAAATATCATTCATTTTTGGAAATACAGATTTTTATTGACTTTTTTAAATAAAAATTTATAAAGTATATGTAACGACCAGCAATGACTAAATTATTATTGGGGGGACTTTGTAAATTTAACAGAATTAAAACTATTTTTGTTGAATTTTAGTTTGTTTAGCTATGCTTTTGTTTGTTAATCTCAGAAACGGCACAAGGCAAGTTTCACTAAAAAATTGTATTTGCATTATTCCAGTATATTAACAAGCAAATAAGGAATATAAATTAATGACTGCTACTTATTAACTAGCAGTCACAGGTAGTCATTTCTTTATAACAAAATAAAAAAGTAGTAAAAGTTGACCGAATTAACAATGAATTCCTTTTCAGTTGAAAATGAAACACGCTGCTACGATGAACTCGGATGTTTAAATATAACTAGAAGCTGGTACCACCTCATTCATCGACCTTTCAACGTGTTTCCATTACCTAGAGTTGTTATCAACACAAGGTTAGTGATTAGGTATATCGTATAGTACATAATACGAGTGGTATACACAAGCGAAATGTAGAAACTAGCTATTAGCTCAGGGACCATTTATATGTAAATTATTTAAATCTTTCATTTTATAACAGTATTCTAATTTTTTCGGGTTATGATCGATGTAATCTTTATATGAGTAGATAATACGGATAATAAAATAATTATTTTTTATTACCTTATTCGGAGCTATTCATTGTTATTAATTGTATTTCAGAACTATGTGTATTTCGAGAATAGAGCGTAATATAAACTATATACGAATTTTGTAAAAAAATATTATTTGTGTAATCAAAATGGCAACAAGTCCATCGGATGATAAGAGTCTAGAGCTAATAGCCGTCGCTCATATAAACAGCATTCATGCGTAGCCATTCGGGAGGACTAGGATATCATGCCTCTAATCCTTATCCTATTTATGGAATTTCTCTACCATTTCTCAACCTATAACCGAAGTACAGAGAAACTGCTTAGTAGGTAAAATAAATGAGACTAGCACCTCTAGTAATCATTAACCATTAATATTTTTTTACAAAAAGGAAGGACCTTCATGACGTTACTTATTACGAAGAAAAGTAACTTAAAAGTTGATAATAAAGGTTATGACGTCAACCAATCAATACTAATTAAGGCAATATAAACAGCATGGGAGGAATAAGATTGTAATAAATTATTGGCCCTATTTCTAGCACTATATTCTGTAATCAGTTGATGACAAGGTGGTCTTCCCCGAGTACCATCTTGGTTGATTTCCTGATAAAATTTCAACTATACTGCCAAACTGCTTACTGTTAAAACTGAATTTTTTATTCTTTTTTTGTTTTTTGTCGTATTGTAACTAGTTATTCAAGTATATAACCCAATTTCTCGACCAAATACGGAGAATTTTTCTGGATAGGTATTTATAATGTATTTATAATATAGTATATTATAAAACTATAAACATATATTTTTTTAGTTAATTTACTGCACTGTTCTTCATCTCAGTATTCTTGAAATTAATATTATTTCAATATCGTTAGATATATAACATCTAACTGTGTGTACTAATTTAGAGGTAATAAAGATCTACTTTCCACGATCCTATAGTATATTTACGAAAAATTATGAAATGCGTATGTACCTATTACATTTTTGAGGTACTGTTACAGAGCATGATGAGAATATTTCCCTCACGAGCTTGAGCCTCTGTTTTACTCCCGTGTTATACCTTTTGAGACTGATTTCTGAAATATCCTTCTGCAAATCCTTATAACCGTTCTGAAATATCTAAAAATGTAGATTAGTAATAAGAAATTCCTCGTCTGCATTTTAAGAACAACATCTGTGATATCATTATAGTGGCGTGAGTTTAGACTCAGCGTTATTGGGCTATGCCGTGTCTTTCTATATACATGTTTAAGACACTATTTGTTTTCAGGTTTATATTATACACAAAGAAGAATCCAACTGATGGACAGATATTAAATGTGAATGTAAACAAGACTATAACGAAATCAAATTTCAGTCCTGAACGACTGACCAAAATTATAATACACGGTTTTATTGACACGCCGCTATCAAATTGGGTTTGTCACTTTATTTTATTAATAACTAGGGACCCGTAATGTGTTATGAATGTTTGAAATTGTTTATTTGACACATGTGTGTCACACAATACATGTGTATTACCCATATAAATCTTTCCCGTGAATCACTCTATCTGTTGCTGAAAACTGCATTCAAATGTGTAATATAAGCGGCGGCGAGTTTGTTTTATACTATGTAAATAAAAAAAAATCCTAACAAACCGGACCTAAATAACTTTACAGTTAATACAGTATGGGACTAATTTAGTTAGACCGTTTTATTAGAAAATAAATAATTAGATAGTAGAGCCTTTATCGTTGTAATTTTTTTAACTTTACTTTTATTTCCTGATAAGCACACAGTATTTTATTACGTATATAGTACACTTTTTTTAAAATATGTCCATTTTCTATTTTTACTCATTTTCTCTTTACCGATTTCTTTGTAATAATCCTACATCGGTCGAATACGTAGCCTACATACGTATTCGACCGAATACATACATTTAAAATACCTAATACATAACATTTTTAGTTTTAGTTATTATTAGTAGTTTTTTAATCATTCCTTAATTTATACGAGTATGATATACTTTTATATAATTTATGTAGTTTGTTACTATAATTATTATCTAAGCAAATTTACAGTTAAAAATATATTAAGCAAATTCATTTATAATTTCAGGTGAGTGAGATGAAAGACGAGCTAGTTAAAGCTGATGACTATAATGTAGTAGTCGTGGATTGGGCAGGAGGGAGTCTACCTTTGTACACGCAGGCCACTGCCAACACCAGACTAGTAGGACTCGAAGTAGCTCACTTTATCAATACATTACAGGTAATCAATCATACATGAGGTGTAATGACAGAAATGTATATACATATTAGTATTAAATTGCATTTTCTTACTCCATCTATGAAATAAAATACGTTGATATAACATTTTTATGTCATAAATAATTAAAAAGCAAAAAGATACATTACATTCAAAATTTTTAAATCTATTTAAATAAATGCATAACGTATAAATATTTATTTTACAGAGAGAACACGGATTAAATCCTCTAGATGTCCATATAATTGGACATTCTCTAGGCGCTCATACTGCCGGGTATGCTGGGGAGAGAATACAAGTAGGATTATCTTTTCACTAATATTGTATAATCATTTAGAACACTATAATATGAAAGGTATTGTGTCTTCATAATGTCTTTGATTTAGCCTCTCATTCCATAGGGCTTAGGAAGAATAACAGGATTAGACCCGGCCGAGCCGTACTTTCAAGGAATGCCAACACATATCAGATTGGATCCTACTGATGCGCAACTCGTGGATGTCATTCATACTGATGGAAAGAGCATATTCCTTTTAGGTAAAACAATAGGTGTAATATAATAAAATATCATATGCACGCTCGCTTTATATATATATACTCATTTATTTTGTGTGCTGCACTGTTAGATTACCTAGTTCTCTATTTGAATTAAACTGACAGATATGTTACCTATTATGCCGAAACTGGAGTTTAGACTATATAGAATACCAGTAGGTATTATAAATAGGTATTTACAATAAAATTTATAGATTAAATAATTTAGTATCTTTTTTCATTATCTCATTTATATTATAGATATCCATATTTTATTAAATATGAATGTGACTATATGTGATCTTAACTCTAGTAGCGACAGTTTTTTTTTTATTTAGAATGCATTATTGCTTTACAATCATTAATTGACTAACCCATACATTTATTTATATATTTATGTAAATAGAATACTACATGCTTTTTTGCTATATTATTCAATCATTCATTCATGTAAATATAATTAAATATATTTTATTTATATACATACCTATATATGTTGCATTATCAACTAATTTATCGACGTGTTTATTTCACGCGTGCGACAGATTTTGTGTTTATGGCAGGATATGGAATGTCACAACCCGTGGGTCATTTGGACTTTTATCCCAACAATGGAAAGGAACAACCTGGTTGTGACCTCACCGAAGGACCTTTAGTACCCCTAACACTTGTGAAGCAAGGTCTAGAGGAGGCCTCTAGGGTACTTGTGGCCTGTAATCATGTTAGGGCTATAAAACTCTTCACGGAATCTATCAACGGGAAATGTCCGTATATTGGTGAGTAGTCGGATAAATTTAACATTAGTTTTAATTATATAAAAGGCACTAAATTATTATTAGAATTTTTACAGGACATCAATGCCCGTCTTATCAACATTTCTTGTCAGGAAAATGTTTCCATTGTGGTCATGGCTGTGCCATAATGGGGTAAGTTTGCAATAATTAATTTTATTTCTAAAAACGTACATCAACGAAAGTTCCTAATTCAACTATATTTTAATTTATAATTATTGTTAATTTCCTTTTTAACAATAAATGTCTCTTTTTTAATATTAATTTATCCTAATTGAAATTGTTATTAAATCTGTTTTATACTATTCCAGTTTCCATGCTGACAGTTCCCCGGGTTTGATCACGAATAAAAACAACCAAACCGAGAATGAAGTTTATCCGTCTGAAGAACATGATACCATCGGAGCCAAGTATTACCTGAGTACAGGCAAAGAGTTGCCTTTCTGTCGTTAGTCACTTTATCAATTTTTTTTTTTAATTTTAACCATTAAATGTTTTTTAATTCATCAAATTTTAACCTTGTGTAATCAATTCAAATTCCAGAGCGTCATTATAAGGTGGCTATTCAACTGGCAAATCCAAAAGGCGCAGAATCCTGGGTCCAGGTAAACAATCCTAGTATGAAACTAAATAACAGCTCATAATTATTGTTAGTTAATTTATATTCAGTGGAATCAATTGAATCCAACCATTTATTTTAAATTGTAAAATTAACTCCAGAATTAGACGTAATCAATTTTCCATTTATTTCTCAATAAGAATATGAAATGTATATAAACACAAAAATATGTATCCCTATTATAATTTTTGACATGTCAAAAATGTATTAAAAAACTTATTCGTCTTCACAGGGCTTCCTGAAAGTAACTCTATTATCAGATCGTGGTGTAATTCGAGGAATGGATCTCACTCCAAGTAATTACGTTAAGTAAGTTTTCGTATACAATATTAATTACCATATGTTATAAGTAGTAGCAATAATAATATACCCTCAAGACTGTTATCCTAGATGAGGTAGGTAGAGGCAATGACAAATGTTGACGTCATGGTGAATGCAACACTTGATATGCCTACATTTGCTCGGCAAATGTGAATTCAACATGGCAGAAAGCTAAGATACCACCGTCACCTGGTAGTTAGAGATATATGTAAATCTAAGTAGTAGTAATATAACGAAAATAATATTGTAATCCCTATTACAGATTAGAACATGGCACAACTTACACTATAGTTGTGACACATCCAATGGATTTAGGCGGAAAAGTTAGGAAGGTAATGACAAAATTTAAAATTACATATTTATATATTCTATTTAGATATTTGACTGGTTTTATATTTTATTTTTAGGTAGAGCTATCGTGGGAGTACGATATGAATGTACTAGAGCCGCGATCTCTTTGCATCCTCTGGTGTAACGATCGACTCTACGTAAAATCTGTGCTCGTTGACCAAATGGAACTGCCTAGCAGAGGGTTCGTGTCGTATATTTAATTATATTTCACTACTTTTATTCTATATTTACAAAGAGTATGACTTATTATCTAAGTTATCATAATTCCATAACCGATAAAAACTCAAGGCAACTATTGGACGAAAAAATCCTTATTCTTTCGTTTTTTTTTTTAATAATTTAATTAGTTGAGATAAACTAATAAAATTTATTATGGAACAGAAAAAATACTTAAATAAACATCCAATACAAGTATGGGACTAATAAAGGGAGAAATACAGCACTTATTTTATTCTCAGTTTTACACCCTGTGGGTACAGCATAAAACTAATTTCAGAATTTTTAATTTTCATCTTCTATTTTGTTTTTTTTTTGTTTCAATCTGTACTTAGAAAAACCAAATTTATTAATGACTTTATTTTTATTTTAGGAAAAGAAATGTTGACTTTAGCAGTAAATTATGTACACCAAAACGGGAATTTGCTGAAATTCCTAATCGTGGCTCCGCCAGCTTTTACGACAACTGTGGAAGGTAGCCGTGCCATACATACACAAAGTGGTTTACTGTTATTCATCACAGTCTACACTTGGTGCAGACTTAAAGCTTTAAGCGGCCTGACAATGAACACTTAGTGACACAAGTCTGGTTGCATACCCTAAAAGTGATTGTGACTGTCTCAGTGATGTTGTTACAGGGTGAAGAAAGGTGTCTTTCTCTAAATTATGAAAAATTGTTGAGTTTTATATGTAGACTAAGTGAAACGCTTAATATATCTACCTATAATGTTTTATATTTTATTAAATAATTATGAATAAAATACTCATTGAATTTTTACCTTATAGTTATATTTGTTATCCAATAATGTGATTGTTTTACCTATTACAAAAGATACAAACCATTTTATCGTTGGCTGTCGTCGTGCAATTTCCTGTGTCGTTTAGAGACGTAAATAGAAAAGTGTTTGCCGGTAATTTACTTAGTCATAAGTATTATGTTTACATAGCGTCTGTAACTAACGTAACGATATTGGCGGCGGAAACTGATACAGGTGTACAAAGGTTTTTAATATTATAGACTTCAACACAATTCATAATTGATAATAACGACCTCTTCTATTAAGTCATTATTATATAAAATTTAAATGTCGTAGTCGGAAAGTAACACGCTTTAGTAGGTACATGCATGAACCTACTAACGCGTGTTACTTTTCGAATAATGACGTTAATATAAAGTAACCTTCTTCTTCAAAAATAAGTATATATTAACATATATCAACGTTAAACTCAAAAATTAGATCTAGAGAACCTATTGTGCTATTCAAATATGATTACCTGGATATCATCATGGTTAAGTTATGGGCAAACGTAAAGAAAAGAAAATCTATTAATTATTCCTAAGATAGTAGATATTGTAACATTTTCCAATAATGTCTGAAATTAAATAATAGCTTCATAAAATAACAGATCGTGTGTTTGAGAATACCATCTCCCGGAATGAAGAATAAACCAAAAGAAGACCAGACAGGTTAACCGCACCACCCTAGGAAAGTGCAGGTTGGGGCCTAATCGCAAACTCCTTAAAACTCCGGGGGACTGATTGATGACAAAAAAAGTTAATCACTTTCTTTGAAACAAGAATGAAAATAAATATTTACAATAATACTTAATAATTAAGGAAGTATAAATAATATATACATTGGGATGTTTATATATTAGGAATAATTTTTTTTTATCATGGTATTAACTATATGTATGGTTTCAACTATTTGTTGTTATTTTTTTTATATTTTTTATCCATATATTGCAGAAATAAGCTACACATCATAATACGCTAGTGTTCTCTATAGGTACAACGTGTAAAATGTCGTCAATACTGACAGCTGTCAAATATAATATCCCAATGTCAGTCTAATGTTAACTCATAAAAAAATATTTATAGTGTAATTGCAATATGCACTTATTTTAATTTTTATCTTAATAATTTCAGTTATTATTTGAAAGAAATTCTCACAGTAATACTTATTAATGAAATCTATTAAGTTTGAATAAAATCACTCGTATAGTAAAGTCAAATTCGATTCGATTGTGAATTACAATCTAATTACAACCCATACTTTTTTTCAGATATTATAATTACTAGCTAGTGATTAAGTTAGATTATGTATTAAAAAATAAATAAATATGTCATCTCCAATTTCTAAACTTGTTTTAGGATTGTCTTGTGCTCTAACGATAGGTATAGTATCTTACGTACATGTGAAGCAACAATCAGACAGGTACTTTTTTGTTGTAGAAATATAAATTACCTAACTACTTAGTAGCCCAATCACACTCTATTCATTTGTTTTAATTATATTATTTTCTTAAGAACGAAGTCCAAATTGAAACCTCCAAACCGCAAATTTATTATGTAACATATTTACACTTTGATAATGAGTTGTCAATTTACTACTATAAATATAAAATACTAGATACTTCTATCTACAGTAGTGTAATGAGTAGTAGCTGGACCCAGGTTAATAGCAACAATAAAGGACACATTATATCTTCGTACCAAATTTCATTTGAATCCATACAGCTGCTTATGCATGAACAAACATGCAATGTTCTTTATGTAGCATGCATAAGTTAGAACTATAAATTGTAAAGCATTTTTTTAATCCCATAGAAGCATTAATAAATACTTTTGGTTTACATTTGACTTAGTAGAATGTTTTATAATATCTCCTTTATATAAACTTAAATAGGGAACAGCATTACTTAACTATTTCAGTTTATTTAAACATATTCTGAGGTATATTATACTGTTGTGCTTTCATCTGATATAAAATATAAAGAAATTAAGTATTAATTCATTGAAATGAATACCTATTATATTATTACATTTTACCATGTTTTAGAGATAAAATGCATGAAGGTGTCATTAGAGATATTGAACGTCAGCAACGAAGAAAAATAGAAAACTTATACTTATTACAAAAGCAAAATGACTTAACAAAACAAATAAAGAAGGAACTGGGGAATTCATAGACTACAAAGTTAACTATATACTATTTATTAATGTTATTAAAAACAATACAACACTATTTTTTGTTTTCTTTAAGCCATACATCTAACATTACATCTTTGAGGTTCAAATTTACACCAGTAGGTGCATTCTTATCTGTACCATCTATAAAGCCATCTAGATTTAATTTTTGCTTAGCCACTGCTGCTAAACATTCGAATGTTCGTGGTTCCCATGATGCCAAATCTGATATCGTTTTACGGTCAAGCATGATATTTGCCCGATCTAAACCTTCCTTAAGAGTGAAATATGTCATATTGTGTTGCTCGCAGGCGGCAGTGATTCGAGTCTCCCACAATGCTTTCATATCTGCTTTCTTTAGTTTCCTTGCTTTTGTTGCATAAACTAAAGCTCGATGGACATTTCGAACAGCTACTGAATAACAGTTTCTTCGACGACCGATGTAATGGGCAGATAGACGAAAAATTTTCCTTTTTCTCCAATATTCATCAGGGCCTCGACTTCTCACCCAATTTATTACTGACAAAAATACCATGTTAATCTAAAATGAACAGAACATAGAGGTTATGTCAATATATTCATTACACATATAATTCATGGAAAAATATAAAAAAAATATAATTCATATATTAATAAACATTACATTTTAAATAAATAAATATGTCTTAACAGTATATTTCTATCACATAATAATATAAAGAAAAGCAAGAAAGAAGAATAACACAGATATAGGTTACTTTTAAATTAGAGTTGTCCAAAAAATATCGATTAACCCATCGATATAAAATGTCAGAGCCGCAGACTTACCAACAATATTTCTTAGTACCATCAACCGCAGTCAATAACGATCAGCGAAATGAAATTCACAGAAAACTGATGGAATTCTAGATTAAACAGTAAAATAATACGTATATATGACATTCTAGATTTTAAGAGATACAATGTTGCTGCTGTTTTTGAGATTCTTTTAAATTGAATGTATTTTATTAATCTTTAATTTAATTATTGCTAAATACATAATTAACTTATAAAAAAGCTTTCCTTTGAATATGTCCCCAATAACAACTCTTGAGCTATTTTGTGTGCTAGCTATCAATGTTAAATACTCGATACAGTAACCGATACTTACAGGCCATATCAGATAATACACGTTTAATTATTAAATCTAGCAACACATATTTCCACTATTTTGTCGAATTAATCGAATGAATGATTGATACTATCAATCATTTATATATTATTTACCGCTTATTGAGAGAGAATTAGATATTATTACCATTTAAAAATTTTGCTTTTAGCTGTGAACCGAAACTAGTGATTCGGTTACATGTCGCGTACATACAATAATTCCTATAGTTATTATTGTTAACGTGATTGTTGTGTGTGTGTGGTCGGGTCAAGCGCACAGTGGTATATTTTTCTTTCGCTTCGTCTTTACTGGCCGGCCAAGCGAGCGAGATGGCAGATAGAAAATTTCCGAGTAAATTAGAGCGGGTGACACGAATAAATCCCGAAATAATCCGAACGGACACATGCCGTGGTATACAACAAAAACAAAAAAACGTAACAGTATCAATATATATACGTTTAATTTTCACACTTAATGTTATAGACAGACGTAGATCATAAAATAGAGCGATCGATCACTAATTTGGAGTCACAGGTACAAGCAGTGATTTTTGTAAATGCGTTATTTATTGGTAATAACGCATAGTATTAGACAAACAAAAATGATTGTACAGTGTAAATAAAAGTGCAAAAACGTTGGCAAAGCGTAAATAAACTATGAATATCAATCCTCATTTTATATACAATCAAATTAACTTTTAAATTCGCATATTAATAATTTTATTGAAATTATAGTTTCATAGTAAACACTAATCACTCATACATAAATACATTTAATGCAATTAGTTCTAAGCTTGAATAACTATAAGAAGAAGTTAATTTATTAATTTAACTGTATACAAACACTTAGTGGTCTAATTTATTTTCGTTTCGTATGTAACGGTATAGTTGGTGGAGATACACAAGTCACTGGTTTCGTTACTTTTCTTGAAAATCACGTAACCACCCACACCTACATTTGATAGAACTTTAAATGTCTTCTACAAACATAGGTTTGTAATTATCTTGTTCCCCATTGATAGGCAAATCAATAACGAAAAACAAAGCCCGCTATTTTATTCCGCTACCGATTACAATCATTCAATTTTTATACTGTTTTTGTGAAAATTAATCCAGATTAAACCAAATATAGTTTTTTTCCTTGAATACGAAACATGAAATTAATACGTTGCTAGTGTACTATTAAAAAATATTAAAAGGAGGCGCAATCTACTCACATTGTATCGGATTTGGTATCCAGATCATAAACTGGAATTAGATAGGTATCTAATAGGTATTGTAATTTATTTGAAAACATCCATTTTTAAATTTTCGACAATGTTCATGGATGCTTCTTCGTCATCACTTTCTTCGGGATCTAATTGACATGAACCGCTGGATGCATCAAATTTGTCGTTTACCGACATTATGTGCCTAACTTCTGCTTTTTTTTCAGATCGACGATATACAGAACGATTACTCTGTTTGTTTATAAACCTCAGAATCAACATCTATAACAAAAAGTACAGTATAGTAGCAGTCTTCGTAAAGTCTTTTGCGTGGGTGTCTCAGTCTATCTCAATCGCCAAGCTTCTTGCACTATAGGCCTTTTCGGTTAATGTGAAAAGATAGGGCAGGATAAGAAGCATGACATAACATTTTAGCACTCTAGAATGGGAACGTATAAGTCGTATTAGAGCCATAACATGACGTGAGCCTATATTGTGCTATTTATGTAGTAATAAATATAAACGACGGTTACCGTTTACCATCATGAGGACCGTCAGCTTATTCTTCATTCCATTTTATTTATTATTTATTACTATGAATACATCGATGCGATTTAGAAATTTGGTATGGCTTTGGTTCGTAGGGCATAAATACCAGGTACCTACAGAAAGAAAGTTTCCATTAAGAAATACTTACCTCAATAATTATTATTGCAAGGAACAATACTAGATATGCCGACATTAATACCATAATACATTGACGTACACGTTCACCGCAGCCTTTAGTATTTATTGAGTATGTGCCAAGCTCTGTTAGATAATTGGATATGCAGGAGCCACTTTTGCAGCAGCTGAGAATAAAGTATATGTTAGATTCTTATATACATATTCCTACAGTACCGTCTAGTTCCAAATCAACTAGAATTTGTATTATAATAGAGACTAGATTACTGATATAAATACTTAATACATGTTTGATGTTAATACATGCACATGAAAATACTCAGACTTAAGGAATAGGTGTAGATGTTTGTATAGTGCGAGAAATCCAACTCATGACCATCGGAAGTAAAACTGTGCATTAAACGGCTAGACTGCCAAGGAGGTCAATAGGCAAGTATATACAAAGCTAGTAGCTAATCATAAAGATACAAATACTACTACTACTAAAATCTCATCATCATCATCATCGCAGCCCGGAAGACGACCACTGCTGGACATAGCCCCCAAAGATCTCCACGACGATCGGTCCTGCGCTGCTCGTATCCAATGCCTTCCAGCGATCTTACCAGATCGTCGGTCCACCTTGCTGGAGGCCTTCCCACGCTGTGTCTTCCGGTTCGTGGTCGCCACTCGAGGACTTTACTGCTCCAACGGCCATCTGTCCTACGAGCTATGTGTCCTGCCCATTGCCACTTCAGAGTCGCAATTCTTCGGGCTATGTCGGTCACTCTGGTTCTTCTGCGGATCTCCTCATTTCTGATTCGATCACGCAGAGTAACTCCGAGCATAGCCCTCTCCATTGCCCTCTGAGTGACTCTGAGCTTGTTGATGGAGCCCATAGTTAGCGACCACGTCTCTGTTCCGTAAGTCATCACTGGCAACACACATTGGTCGTAAACCTTCGTCTTGAGACACTGCGGAAATTTGGACGAAAAGATATAACGGAGCTTCCCGAACGCTGCCCATCCGAGTTGGATTCGACGATTGACCTCTTTCTCGAAATTGGATCTACCTAACTGGATAGTTTGCCCTAAGTATACGTAGTGATTGACAATTTCGAGTGTAGAATCTCCGATTTTTACGGGAGCAGGTACGACATGGACGTTTGACATAATTTTCGTCTTGTCCATGTTCATTTTAAGACCCACTCCTTGTGAGACTCTACTAAGGTCTTCGAGCATTTTGCTAAGGTCTTCCAGGGTCTCAGCCATGACCACGATATCGTCGGCAAATCGAAGGTGATTGATGTACTCGCCGTTAATGTTGATGCCAAGCCCGCTCCAATCCAGAAGCTTGAAGACATCTTCCAACGCAGCAGTAAACAGCTTTGGCGATATGACATCGCCTTGTCTGACACCTCGCTGCAGTTGGATAGGCTTCGAATTCTGGTCGTGGAGGCGAACTGACATAGTGGCGTTTTCATACAAACATTTCAACGCTTCAATAAATCGATAGTCAATTTTGGCACCGCTGGAGAGACTGTAGCACAGCCCACGTCTCGATCGAATCAAAGGCTTTTTCATAGTCCACAAACGCCAAGCAAAGTGGCAGGTTGTATTCTTCGGTCTTCTGAATTACCTGCCGCAGCGTATGAATGTGGTCTATGGTACTGAAGCCTTTTCGGAACCCGGCTTGTTCGGGAGACTGGAAGTCGTCAAACCTGCGCGCTAGACGATTCGTGATGACTCTCTAAAACAACTTATAAACATGGCTCAGCAGTGTTACGAATCTGAAATTCGTCAGAAGCGATTTGTCTCCCTTCTTGAAGAACAGAACCACCACACCCCTTTGCCATGCTTGAGGCGTTCTGCCCTCGAGGATGACGGAGTTGAATAGCTTCTGGAGGATTCGTAAAACAGGTCTACCTCCAGCCCTCAGAAGCTCAGCAGTAACTCCATCATCGCCCGGCGCCTTGTTGTTTTTAAGTTGTTTAAGAGCCATACCAATCTCGTACAGGCTGACGTCCGGGATATCTTCGGTATAGTGTCGGGTTAATTTGGCTCTAGGGTCTTTCGCCGTGTTGTTAACAGGTGCCCGTGTTGTCGTGTATAACTGTCCATAGAACTTCTCAATTTCCCTCAAAAGTTCGGGTTTAGACGATACGATACTGCCGTCATCCGTCTTAAGTCGCGTCAGCTGGCTCTGTCCGGCAGCCAGATCCTTGTTAAAGACTTTTGAGCCCTTGTTTCTCTCAATAGCCTCCTTTACACAATATGTGTTTAAAGTGGCGTAAGTCACGAGTCAAGGACTTAGAGATCTGCCTGCTAAGTTGCCGATACTGGGAAGCGTCAGTCGGAGACTGCAGGACCATACTTCGCCTTTCATCCATCAGTTTGAGGGTAGAGATAGATATTTTCCGGTTCTTTCTGCGCGGCGGGTTTTGAAGTGCTTGGACCCAGCCGCACGGATAGTTTCTACGAACCTGTTGTTGTAATTGTCCACGTCAACGCAGTCACCAAGGCATTCGAAACGGTTTTGCAATTCTAGCTGAAAGCTTTCGGGGTTTTGTATCTGTATAGGTGTAGGGCGGAGCGTAGATTTCATCAGTCGGGATCGTTCGAGTTTCAGATTCAGATTCAATGTGCCTCTTACAATCCGATGATCACTTCCAATTTTGACGGCATTGATCACAGAGACATCATTGAAAATCTGTCTTCTCGTTGACAAGATGAAATCTATCTCGTTTTTGGTGGCACCATCGGGACTAATCCACGTCCATTTCCGGTGTTCCGGCTTCCTGAAGAAGGAGTTTATCATAAGTCGGCCAGCATTTGACCTCGGAAGTTCCGATCACCGATACCAAATTGCCCCACTCTCAGCTCATCACCGTTTCGTTTGCCCAATTTTGCGTTAGTCCCCCATGAAAACTAAAATCTACTACACTGTAACAAAACTAACGTGCTTATTCCCTGAAAGTACTTACTAACTTTTGAATTATCGAATATACCTACCTATTTAGCTACCTTGAATACCCTACCCCTAACCTAAAATTTTAACGGAATGAATAAACCCAATGCAAAAATTTGTGAGCTAAACTACTATAGACAGAATAGAATGTGCCAATGTACCAAATTGTACAGTATATCTGTGTACCAAATTTTATTTTACTTCATATTCTATTATAAATTAACACATACGATACAGGTCGAGTAGAAAAATAAGCCCTGAACATCAAGTGCCTTTTTCAGTTTACATAAGTAGGTACAGCTCACATAATACTAAGCATAAAATATATTTAATTCTCTAATGGCATGTTAACATGAATAGAAATAATAATGGTATGTCAGTATATAATAGATTAAAATACCTCAAAGGTACACTGTCAGTTAAAAATGATTCTTGTTTATTACGTCTACTTGTGGATGGATCCCACTCATAATCTTTTATTTGGTCATACCAATTATGATTGAACCAATCTTTGTATGAGTTGAACTAAAAATAATGTAACAACGTCATTAGTTTTGAAGTAGGCAAGAAATACACTGGCCTTCCTACTTTTATTTTGATCCGTCACACAGTATTATATACAGAATATCGATATTAATAATCCCCAGAACATTTCACACAGCGCCATCTAGTCTTAGCTAGCTTATGTTATGGCTCTCGCATAGTGCAAACATTTGTATCTATGAGTATGAGTTAAGGATATTTAAATATTTATATCAGTTGTCTAGTACCCATAACATAATGATTCTAACCCTCAACCATCGGAAGTAAGGTGGTGTGCTAAACTATGACCGCGAATAAAGGAAACAATGTTCCGGAGGATAAACGACAACAGACAACGCAGTAGCAATTTTATTTTATATTTTATAGCCATTTTTATGAAAAAAATAGTATCATTCTATATATAAAAATAGTATAGGTAAAAGTAGATACTGTTTAAATAGTAAGACTTCATATATATATATATATACAGTAAATACTGTTTATAAGATATAGTTACATAACTACAATTACATGAGTATTTATCTATAACGTGACGGCCTCGGTGGTCTAGTGGTTATCTAGTATCCATAACACAAGCTTTAGTTATCTTAACTTGGGTCTAGATGGCGCTGTGTGAATTGTCCTGAGATTATTATATATTGTTATTATTATTATAAAATGTTTCGCTCTACATACCCCACAGCATTTTAATGACCATTGTAAATTGTCAATAAACCGTTTATATTTTGAAAAATTTCTGTAGTTTTTCATACTGGCAGTCATGTACTTTGAAGTAGATGCTTCGCAAGAATAAATCCGATAAGCGCATATAATTCCAGACATAACGGCTATGATTATGATCCAACTTATAGATAACCATAATGGACAACAGAGGACTTTTGATTTGTGGCTAAAATACAATAATACTTATAAGAAGTGATAATTGTTACTAACTTATGGTACCTACAGTCCGTTTCATTAAGTTTTTTGGACTGATTGAAATGGCAAACAAGCTGTCGGCCCACCTTATGGTAAGCAATAACTGTCGTCTATACATGAACAGTACTACAGACATCACGTCATTATATGACACTCATGATTCATGCGTTTCTATTTTAGAGGACAAAAATACCACTGAACCTCTTATACTGTAATTTTGCTGCATAATCTGCATCATACATCCGAAATAAAGCTTACACACCAAACTGCTTGGCGTCTGAAATAGGTAAGACTGAGAAACGCAAACGAACTTTTACAGTCTATATCTGGCATCTATGTATCTGTGTCTGGTATGATAGATTAGTTTAGCGGATATAAATTCATTACCTTTTATATCACTACGCTCTGAAAACAATTACTACAATTCTAAACATCCAAAGTGATCAATCTTAATTATTAAAAATATAGTTTTCTTAGAATTAATCATTATTTTTGTGTAATCGGTGACTTTAAAGGTAAAGAAGAATAATTTCGTAGTTGTTTACAATATATTGATAATCTTATAAAATATTATACTCGCTATCAAAAATGATTAATTATACTGCCGGCCGGGACATACTGATATCACTTAATATAATTAATGTACGTATATACATATATAGGTATAGACAAATTTTCTTGAATCTTACAACCACGAATACTATCATTTATGTATGTATTCTAAAAAACTGCGTAGGTAAATATTTTATCATTACATTTATTCATTGACCTAATGGCTAACTAATCTGGTATTGAACTAATCGTACTGTACTGTACTCAACAAATAGGTACGTCACTATCTACGATAACTTATGACATGCATTTGTGTATGATATGATAATATCCATGGGTAACGTCATGCACTGTCTTATTGCTTGGCCAATTCGTGGCTAGTAAGCCACGAATTGGGCTTCATAAGGATATATGGTGTATATGACGGAGGTAGTAGATTTAATTATTATAAAACTAAACCTTTCGAAATAGGAGTGAAGTATGTTATTAAAAGAAATATAGTCACTCTCCGTGTCTATTAAATATGTAAATAAGTATTGTATCTACATACATGTATTAACAAACATGATACGTATTTTGCAAATAAAAAGAAATTTATCAATTATAAAAATAAACTACACTCAATTTTTTTTCCATTGGCAATAGAATACAACAAGTGAATATTAGTAGGAAGCATTATGATTCCTGAAAGTAGTAGAAACGCGTTGATCAAATCTGTACCAGTTATCCATAGCATGTCTCCAACGCCTGAAATAATATGAAGTTTCGTATACCAGAACGTATGATGAATTTAAAGAATAGTAATTTATATTTGTATGTAGGTACAGAGAATATCTGAATATATATTTATTATTAATTAAAAATACTTTTAATTAAAACAATAAAAAAATCTATTTTCTTTCATTTTAATATTATTATATTTAAAAAAACCTCAGTTATAAGTAATCTATCAAACCGATTTAAAAAATAGTATGCTGTTATTTTTTTATATAATTTCGCCCACGAGGATTTGGGATGGATTGGATAGAATGTCTTAATGCATTCCGAGTATTATTACTGTTTCAATCCAATTTAATTTAAAAAAACTTTTGAAATCAATTTACCGAATCTTGTACTTTGTAAAAAGATTATAATATCTAAATGCTACCAGTAGCATAACTAGCTGTTTAATCATGTCATATATATAGAACAAACAATGCTTGATAAACTTATTTATCGTCAGTCTTATTGTCTTTCTAAATACCTAAGATAAAATCTGTATTAATTATCAACGAAAAGCAATTAAAATCTATGTGTGTTATCATCGCTTGCGTTAGCTACAATATAGATAAGTTTTGTAAAAAAACGTAGATACTTGTGTACTAGTTCGGAGATCTAACTCTTTTGTTGGTTTTGTTTTATAAAATACTACAGAGGTGTAAAATCAAATATAAGGCAAAAACGCAAGAATACATCGCAAAAAGTAAAAGAACATTAGAATAGCCTAGAATTTGTCCTGACCAGGCGACTGCATTCATCTGACAGGAGTCTGAAGCGAATGAACTACTTCGCAAAAGAGCCGCGAAATAAATTAATCGCTTGGAATTGCGAGACAACAAATAGTTCTTTTATGTGTCAAATAATTGTAGTACAACCATATGTAGATGCCGTGCCATGATAGATTAAAAATTATAGTAATAGATATCTGTGTAAACTTACAAAAAAACAAGAGTAAAGACCATATTATAGCAAAAATGGATGTTAACCACAAAAAACATGAACCCCATATGACGATAGAATGATTTTGTTCCTTGTCTTTCATTGTATGTTTAATTAGTAATTACCCAATACAATTAAACTATTATAAATAGACGTCGCTTCTGACAACTAATGAATAAAAATGACAATGTGTATAATATGAAATCAACCTACTTGCATAATAAAAATATTAAATCACCGGACGTATACTGAATCTAAGGTCTTAAGGTATATCTTCTGCCCTTGTGGTCTTATGAGCATTCCTGTAATCGATAATTTACCAATGGTGCGATTAAACAACACATCATATTTACCAATTTAATAAATGTCGGTACAGAAATTAACTCGTCATTTGCTCCGCGAAATAAAATATACCTATATCAGTTACAAATAATACAAATTATATTTTATTATTCAAATGTAGTAACAAACAGTTAAATCTTGTGATATGTATCTAATTATAATACAACTTGCATATACATTTACTTACCTATTCCTACAGATATCACTTACATTTAATAAATTCGTTTATTGGTTGTTATTATAATTAATAATATTATTAAAATATATTATTTTAAAATAATTTTTAAATCCGAAAAATATCAAAAAATTATAATAATTACTGTTTAGATAGATATACTCAGATATATATGAAGATATTTAATTAGATTAATTATTTTGATATCGAAGCCAATTAACAATTATTTAATTAAATAATACGGAATAAAAATATAATTTAATAATTACTCATATACCTACATTGGATAAAAATGTATAGACGATGGCACAGCCCTGGTCTCAAAATCTACATTCCTTATATGTATTTGAATGTGGCTAGTCTTATCGAAAAACATCATATTAAGTTATCTGAATAGCGTCATAAAATATTTATATTTACACTAAAAGTTATGCGATAGTATACTTCTTATTTTATTATTACATGTATTAATCATTTTCGTACTCTAGATCATTATAAATTAAACCATAACACTATATAAGAGAAACACATAGTAAAAATTTCAACAGACCAGTCCCCAGAATTTTCCGCTTTATATTTAGGATAGGTATCCATTGTTAATTTTTTTCTGGTCAAGAATAAATCAGTCTATGTTCAGAAATTACATCCAATCAAATGTTGTTTGCATTATCATTCGACAAACGTCTCTGGACGGGTCACATCGCCCATTTTCTTTAAATTAGGTGAGACGTTGAATTCGCTGCCGGTGCTCACCAACACGTCTTCTACAGTAACGCCATCAGCGAGTTCAGATAGCGTTAGACCTTTCTCCTTATCCACTAAAAACACGCACTGGAAAACAAATTATTATGTATTGATTGTTTTTGTATTGTTTTACCATTTATTAGTCAATTGCAGTACTCCCATGTATTGAGAAATTTCAGGGATTTTTAGTGGAGTAAAACATAACTGACTTGAATAAAACTTTAAACTTTAAACATAAATCATGTGTAACATTTTATTGATTTAATAGATCTTTTTTACGTTATTCATGTGGAAAACACGTACACGGCCCACCTGTGGTAACCCTCTATGAACATCACATTATCTTACTATTAAGCGTATTAAAACTTTTATCCTGTAATTTAATTGCCTTATTACACCCTTCAACAAAAGCACATCTTGAAAAGCAGTTGCGGTGGCGGATGTAATACGTAAAATTGAGGTATCCAAGCAGACAATTTTTTATGAAGTCTGCTTATAAATAAACCTATAATTTTATACTACATTACTCACCTTTTCTGTTATGATCATATCAACACAGTTTTTTCCAGTGAGCGGCAATGTACATTCGGGTACAATTTTATGGCCGCCATTTTTAGCAGCATGTTCCATGGTAACTACAACTTTTGTTCTTGGGGCAGAAACCAAGTCCATGGCACCACCCATTCCCTTTACCATTTTACCCTGGTCGAAATAATTTACTTATTTAATCAAGTAGTATGTAAGTACTAAAGATGATATTGCAATAAATTCTTAGTTAACAAATAAATTCATACGAAATTCGTAGATAATTGAAAATTCAGTCTCTAATCTACAAGTTTCAATAGATATGTTTACTTATTATAATTAACTTACAGGTATCATCCAATTAGCTAAATCGCCGTACTGAGAAACTTGCATAGCACCCAAAATAGTCAAATCAATATGCCCACCTCGTATCATTGCAAAGCTATCATCGGACGAAAAGAATGATGCTCCTAAAAATATAAAAATATCGAAATAATACGGCGGCAAATTATAATTATAATAAGAGCATTTTAATTATTAACATAATTTTTTCACTCTCAGATATTGAAAGACATAGGGCTGTTTACAGTGGATACTAATAGGTGTGTATAATAGCATCCTGGGGTCACTAAAAAAATCTATTACAGTGTTCTATTTACTTCATAATATATCATAACAAATGCTCACCAGGAAGGACTGTCACAGTTTCTTTTCCAGCATTGATGAGATCAGCATCGACCTCTTGCTCTGATGGAAATGGTCCGAGACCGAGAATTCCATTCTCTGATTGTAACAGTACATTTACATTCTTTGGAATATAATTACTGGCTAGCATAGGCATTCCTAAAAAAAATTTTTTTAGTCATATGTTTATAAAAATATATACCTATAAAATATAAAAATAAAAACTACAATATTCTATTTTTCAAATAATTTTTTTTCAAAGATGTATAATAATATATATAAAAGTCCCTAGATAAATTTATAAATACAATATACCTATTCCTAGATTTGCATGCATTCCGTCTTTGAATTCTAAAGCTGCTCTCTTAATTATTCTTTCTCGTATTACATCTGATGCTTTTTTCTCTTTTTGTATTGCTGGTTTAGTTAAAGTTCTTTTTTCAATCCTCTTTTCATAATTTTCGCCTTTTATAATCCTATGTACATATATAGAGGGTACATGTACAAAATCAGGTTCAATTTCATCAACTATTTCTTCTACTTCAACTATGGTTATGCGTGCAGCTTTACACATAGCTGGATTAAAGTTTCTGGCACTTTTTCTAAATATTAAATTACCATATTTATCTGCTTTCCAAGCCTTTATAAGAGCAAAGTCACCAGTGATAGATTCTTCTAATATATAGTTATTACCACCAAACTGTAGCTCTTTCCTAGCAGTACTAGGTATATCAATCTAAAATTTCAGAATAAAATCAAATATTCAGAATAAATTAAAATCAATTATTTTACTATTTATTAATAAATATATTATTACTTAAATTTAATATTATTATAATTGTGGCATGTCATGTCATTTCTAGACCAACATGAACTTTCATATGCATGAAAAAAATGTTAAATAAAAGTACTAAAGTAAGAAGAAAGAAGATTTTGCCAAATAGAAGAGAAACATCACTATACATTCTATGTGGTTATGGCCCTCTCATGCATAAACGAAATATCTCCTTTAAAAAGTATACACTATATCCTAAGCAGTTAAAAACCATTGTTCCTAAAAGTATTCTTCAATTCTTGTCCCTTAATGGTCTAGGTAGCAAACTTTGATTAAGGGCGAGCACAATAGCTCTTCACAGGTCGCAGTGTTTTAGTCTCTTTTCCATAGCTCAAACCCCCTCAATAAAAAAATAAAGGTATCTGATGTTAGAGATGTGGTAAAATTATGAGAAAATATAAATAATTGTCTACTTAAACTAACAAAAACAAAATAAATTAAAACTTACTTTTCCCTCTTTAGTGTACTTAATAGGTGATCCACCTTCATGTATTAATGTACCAAAACCTGTTGGTGTAAAAAAAGCTGGTATTCCAGCACCACCCGCTCGAATTTTTTCTGCTAAGGTTCCTTGTGGGGTCAACTCTACCTAAAAAATAAGGCATATAAGGCTCAATAATTTTAACTCCAACTGACCAACCTTCATTAGAATACTCAAAATTAAAAGTATATAAGGAATCAGTCACTATTACACTTTGCAATATAAATAATTAACACTATGATTTAATTATGAACAGTTGTAAAACTATTTTCTAAGTTAATACATTATTTTTTAAAAGGAAGTTTTTAAATATAATTTCTATGACAATTTGGATAGGCAGTTTTTAAATATAATGTCTATGAAATTGAATATTTTTTACAGGATTTAACTTCTGTTTCATATTAATTTTGATGGAATTAATGTCTGTTTTTAAGCTTATTCATTTTATATATTATAATTACATACCTCTAGTTCCCCATTTAAAAACTGTCTCTCAAATTCAGCATTTTCTCCAACATAGGAAGCAATCATTCGTTTAATCTGTTTACTTTTCAGTAAAAGACCCAATCCGAAATTGTCAACACCTGTTAAAGACAAGCAAGTATGTTTCTTTAATACAAACAAAAGACAAAGAAGCTATGTCCTGCGTTTAACATCTGTATATCCCGTAATTTCAATGTATTTATCAGAATTTTTTTGATGACCAGACTTTTTTCATTATATTTTTATATATTAATCAAACTATTGAATTAAATCTCTAATATAAACTTACCAGCATTGTTAGAAACCACAGTGAGCCTGGACACATTACTTGCGTTCAGGGCTTTTATTAAATTCTCAGGAATACCACATAATCCAAATCCACCGACCAGAAGCTTTGATCCATCTTTAATATCAGCAATCACCTCTTTGGCATCCGTAAAGATTTTGTTGGTACTTTTTAATGTGCTATAATTCGCACATGATAATATCTGGGAATGATTAGGGTTCAGGGTTATGACTTATAATTTTATATGCTTATATGTAAAATGTTACGAGTATTTCAAAAACATACCTTTTTGTAGCAAAACTTGGTTTGTGAATAACAATACATTTTTACTATTTTTGAAATCATTGTGCTAAGTTTTTAGTGCGTTGTCCTTTTTAATTTTTGTATAGTTACTTGGTTATTCACAATTTTTTAGCAACTATAAGACATTCTAATTATATATTTAATGACGAAATAAAAATTTCAAAACATTGCAAACAAATATCTGTCAGATTATATGTCAATAGATCAGCTGTTTATTACTCAATATTGTAAACAAAATTAGGTCGCGTTCCCGTATACTCCGATTAAATAAATTAACAGAAAATATAACTGACAAGTATTTGCATTGTTACGAGCAACGTTAAAATGATAAGAATGAGATTTTGTTGTTTGTGCCGCGATTCACGAGGTCGACTAGGTCTCCGCTATTTACATAGCAACTTTATTTTATTTACGTTACAATTGGGTAAACACCCCAAATACCGTCATAATTATGTTTTAAATTCCTTTTTCATTACAAGCCATATATACAGTTTTTTAACATTTTTTTAAACTTATTATTTTGTTGTTCTCTACTAAAAGCACTCCTTCCTAATATTACGCAATCAATTTCACTTCTAAGCCTCCTTCTATTGAATTCCATTGCCTGAGGAGAAGGGGATTGTCAGTAATGTGGACTCTTGACCCCATTGCTAGCAATGTACTATGTCAGGTTGACCTCCACGCGGTTCCCCCTGGAAACTATCGTCATAAATTCTTGGTGAATTTATCACGGTGGGCTAACTGACCTGACCTCATGCTCATCTTATCATCCTCCACTGGTGCCCCGCCAGTGTAAACCGTTAGCACAGGCGGGTGCATCATTTCATTATCACATACAAAAAAAAACCCATTGACTTCACAGAACAGAGGATTTTTCTTGTTCTGCCATGGACTCGCTACATTCGTCAAAACGTCTCGTCACTCAATGCCCTGTTATATTTTTGGTGGTGGATGATAACTGAATGCGCTACAGGGTGCCAGTGAAATATGCAGAGATGATAATAAAATGTAATAACTAATTTTGTAAATAAATATTAACAAATTGTAGTGATTCTGCGAGAAATTAACCATAAGTATTTTTAAAAAACTCATGCCCGATTTACAATAAAGTAATTTAATGTAGGTAGGTATATTATACAGACATAATAGCTTTTGTTACATATATGGCTATTATATAAAAACTAGCTGTCCCGACAAACGTTGTTTTGCCTTAAAATAAAAAATAATAATTTAGGGGTGGACTACCCCTAACATTTAGGGGGATGAAAAATAGATGTTGGCCGATTCTCAGACCTACTCAATACGCTCACAAAATTTCATGAGAATCGGTCAAGCCGTGTCGGCTATGTGTTTCGGTATGGGAACGAAAACTGTGATACGAGAATTTTATATATAAGAATATCATTTTTTCAACAAGTTGCTGTGAGAGCCAACCAACCCAACTTTAATTATTCATCGGTACACTGACTGACATTAATCAGCACATCTACCCTAGAAGAAACTTGTTATAAATAAGTCACAATAACAACGTAACGCAATATCCATTAATTAATTATTATACCAACATATAACTACTTACCTAACATGACACAATCTTTGTTTATATTTCCAGATATAAATTGTTAATATTTTCATCAAAGGAATAAGCTGGTACTTTAAACACCTAAGGAAAATTGTGTTATATCTAAGTTTATTATGTCTTCTTATTATTTTACAGCAATAGCAACCTAGTTATATATAATATTTTATTATTTACCTCTTTTCTAAATGAAATCCTAATACCTAGAACCCATACAACCATACAGGTAAATTTAATAAAAAAATATAAATTTTCCATTTTCAGCGTCGGGTAAATAATACTGCTTTATTTATTAGGTGTAACTTTCCAGGGAGAACCGCGTAGAGATCAACCTGACGTATTCCAAATTACTAACAATTCAGTGTTTAGTGTGCTCATTTACGGCGACAATCACTTACCATCAGGTGTGCTCCAACTCGTTTGTCCCTATGCTATAAAAAAAATGTACGTTTTAATACCGATATGGTGGAGGTTATGAATAAAAATAAATACATGTATTGCAATATATAAATACATGATAGGCGTCCTGCGTGCGAGAATTGTTTTTAGAGCTAATTCTCTCGCCTGCGCTAACGGTTTACGCTGTCAGGGCACCAATGGAGCACGATAAGATGAGGTCAGTTTATCACGATGCTTTCCACAGGTTAACATGACGTAGTACATTGGTAGCATTGGAGCATCAGTCAATATTAGGTACTAACAATCCTCTTTCCCCCTAGGAGAGCTGATTGGAACAAAGTTTGTTGTGATATGTGTAATTATATTAACCGGCACAATTAAATAAATTACGTTTGACGGATCCAATAGTATAATGGAAGCAAGCACTACTCATAAACGAAATAGATGATATAGAGTTTGACTAATAATGCCAATAATGGCACATACTATTAGCTCTTCGACTGCTATGTTATGATGTAGGTACTCTTACTATGCTCTTCTACTGTTTGAGACACCGTAGTTTTGTAGTAAAATTATATATAATCGTAATTCGTCTTTGTGATTGTCACCTAACTCTAAATTTTATACGCACTATTCAAAGATTTACTAGATGGTTTGAAAACACAATTGAATCCAGTGGGTGTCGCTAGCTTTTCGGGCAGTCTGCTGAACTCACCAGTATAGAATAAAATATTATTTTAATCTCCAGTAAGCCTTCTTGGTTATGTTTTTACCTATTTATTGGCGGCACGCCATAATATTAATAGTAGATATCTATTAGTAAGCCGAAGTGATTACACATCGACTGCAGCATCAGACGGCGTATCAAGAGTATCATGATTCCTACGTATGAAATTAGTTCAAATGTAAATGGAAAATAATAACGCCCATATATATCTTAAACATACAATATATTTACATAATTTTTATTCAATACATACACAAGTAGGTATATCGAATTATTTACATTTAACATAAGCTATGTTTATAAGCAATTGTAACAATTTTATTCATTACAGCCAGACTAATAATTTATTAATTACATAAAACAAAATGTGTAACGGTTATATGACATTTCATAAATAACCCAAAAGACAGATCAGGTACCTACTTAGAAAGTGTAAGTTTTGTGTAGGTAAATACCAAAAAGCGAAATCATTTCGCGTAATCGAAAAGACGCCGCTTTTTGGTATTTACCATGAGATGAAATAACCACAAAAACAATGTTTTTTCATCATTATTACGCTACGTTTACGAAATGCTTATGCCACCTCGGACATATTTGATTTAAATGTAAAACAGTACCAACAGAAATTTGATCATTGCACCGATACTGCAAAACAAGAGATTTTCTTTAATGATTATTATTAAAATGTAATCCTATAAACTTAAAAAGAAAATTAAATAGGTACCTAAATTATTCACTGAAATGTTAATTAATACAATATGTTTCATTCAGTTCATTTCACAAATAGATTTGTACTATGGTTTAATTTTCGAGGTTTTAACCAGTTACAAAAGTATTACATAAATTATTAGGATATTGTATAGCTAATGGTTGTATTTGCGATAAATCTATTGTTTTGTACCCATATGCACAGAAAGTTTAGGAACACATATAAACTACACTCATTACACTTATAAAAATGTTTCAAAACCATACGCAACAATTTAAATTATTAATAGATGCGGCCAAATGTATACCCACTATCTTTATAATGAATCTTAAAGGAGTTCAATTCGCAATATTACAAAAATGAATTGAAAAGAATTTCCTAATAAATGCTACTTAAATTGAATATTGAATAATAAATAATACTATCTACGAAATTATCTACCTAATCTCATTGAATTATTTATGAAACATTAATTAATACGTCGCGTCTCATTTTTAGATCGAATCACGTGGAGCTTACAACATATTCATGTGTATAAAAGTTCCAACATCAATATGGCCGCTTCCTTGTTAAATATAATAAATTACTAGAAGTATAAATTCTATCTTAGTCTCCCCGATCTAGCGTCAGTGATAACGCCCCACAGCTCGATGATAAATTCATCAGTGAATCCAAATTCCTGAAGATCACTATTGTCGATGGCTTCTGCTAGTTGCATAGAATTAGTCTTGCCTTCAGCGAGATCCCACATTTGTGTTGCTAGTTCGGAGTCGTTAATTCCCATGAATGACTCCAATAGATGATTAATTTTTTCAATCCCGACCTTCGATCTTTCATCGTGCTGAAAATAAAGAATTTAATATTATGAATACTTATTACAGAAAATTATTTTAGTTAAATCTAATTTTTTTATTGACGGCCTCGGTAGTCTAGGATTGGCACACCGTCATACTTTCCTATAGTCGCGGATTCCATTCCTTGCACAGTACAATCATGAGAATGATTGTTTATGGGTATGTCTCTGGGTGTTTCCTATTTATATTAGATATGTATGTATTTACAAAAATGCTGCATAACACAAGCTCTGTTTACTTTGAGATTAGATGGCGCTAAATAATAGTACCTAGATAGACAACTTTCTAATAAGTCTTACTTTTTATAATTTAAATACTCATAATGTATCCAGTATCCACCACCATGAGCCCAAATAAGCAATAATTGCCATTAAATCACATATATAATAAATAATACTAGCTGTTACCTGAAAAATTTGTTCGCGTGTATGTTAAAAAATAAACTTATAAAGTTACTTCTTGTACCTATATAACATTAACTGTGAGTGAAAGTCCCGTCAAAATAATTTCTGACTGACAAGTACTTAGATACATATGTAGACAGATAGCCAAAATTTTTTTTCTTTTCGTTAAGTAACTTTATATACTTCCATATGTATATTGTGAAAATATTAAATTGAATTCTATTAATTTGAAATTACAAACAGACAGACCTTTTACTCACATTGACGATTGTTAATATTACAAAATTCATACATGTATTGCCAACATGTATGAATTTTGTAATATTAACAATAAATATTGTGTCCATATTAAATTACAAAATTATGATAAAAATTTAATTTATTTACATAATTTAGTTGTACTACTAAGAATAATAATTTTGTAATATTATATAACTTTTTGTAAATTTTGGTAATATATAACAAAATTTCTAATAATAATATTGCGTATACATTTACCTCATTTTCGATGGTAGCTGGTCCATTAGCCTTAAACCTGAGAGTTTCTTTCCCGGATCCATAGTTTTGCTTTTTACTAGATTTAGCTCCACCTCTGTTCGGGGGACCTATGGACGCAAATCCACTCTTAAGCGGTGCTACTAGTCGAATTATAAATGTTGTTCCTTTAGGAATGTCTTTTAATATTTTCGCAACTTCATAATGTCTCTTTCCAACCATGTTCTCTCCATTCAGCTTCTCTATGTGATCGCCGACCTGCATTAAAATGAACGATTTAATCATGTAATGGTTTGCTTCCGGTTTAAATTTATTTTCTCGACGAGGTGAATAACCCGATTGGAGTAAGTACCTAGTTACCTTCAACTCTTGAACTTTGACTGCTTATAGATCATCCAAAGGTTACATTTAACTTACAATTATGATCATATTACTTTCATTACTATAATATAATACATGCCTATATGTATTTATATATTTTAAATATAACCGGCTTACCTCGATATGGCTTATTTGAGCAGCTATTGAACCTTCTTTAATTTTTTTAATAAATGCATATCCTGCAGCGTTGTCAGTGATAGTTAATCCAAGGGCATCTTCTGTTTTGACAATCTCTATTTCTTTTGGTCTTCCTTTTCTATGTGCAAATATAAAATCTTCTAATCCTATTTGTCCTCCAAGAAGCTTTTTCATATCAACTTTGTGAGTATTCAGGGTACAAAATAGTATCTGTAACCATAAAAGAAAATCGACTAAATTGTGAGTAAGTCGGGACTACAGGCAGGCAGACTGCCATCGGAATAAGTCGGTTAGTATGCCTATCTAATTAACTGTCATAAATCTAATTAACTGACTACACCCAAACATTGCGTGTCTAAAGATATATTTCCTTACTAGTCAACAATCTCTTTTCTTCATTACCATTAAGGTCCAATTGATGACGCGTCCTATTATCCAAAGGGCGAGGCCGCATATCGAAAACTTTCCATGAATATTGAATACGCATCTATACTATTTCTAGAACGGTACGAACTCGTAGAATTCGAAATGGTTTAAAATCTACCATGCCACGCTGATTGGATAAATAAAAATCTAGTTGATGTACCTATACGGTCGAATTACTAGAGCGCTATAATATTGGAAGCCGTTGCTTTGAATTAATCATTGTGGTACGCTTGTTTGTTTGGATGCATCAATTCTGGACTTTATATCTAATTTGATAACGAAATTGAATATTATAGATTACCTAAATATTGCCTTCATTTGTGGCAAAACGGTTATCAGTGTATATTTGATATTTAGTTTGAATTAAATGGCGCTGTGTACAATATCGAGGGTTTTATTACAAGTATTGTATTATTAATCTTGTGACCACTTATAGCTCCATCATCAGAATATCTCCAGTGATACCTTGCATGCATATCATTCCGATATGTAGCTACTGTATCGTAATTACAACTCAATTCAATTAAATTACATATTAAGCAAAAATATGTATTTATGTATATTTAGAAACACTGACTACCTAGTTTAATATTGATATATATTTCAACTATATGACGTGACATATTTTACACCGTAAAATTTAAAATAATGTAGATATCGTACGTACTTACTCTGCTAAAAATAAAACTAAGCAAGTATGTTGTCTTACGTAATTTAATTAGTTAGGAGTTAGTTTCCATTTATTATTCGTACACATAGGCACGTACACACACAGAAAAAATAATAAAGAAACCACAACATTTTGAGGATTTTCGACTTTGTACCTAATAATAATAGCAAAACAAGTTATGTTAATTTAAAATTCGTTAAGTGATGTGTACGTATTGAGATACGTAAGTGCAGTAAGTACGTTCTTTAAAATAAGTAAAGAAGAAAATAACTGGTACAAATTATATTATCTATCTATACAAATTATATATCTTGAATCTCTTCATCAAATAACTATTATTTGATGAACTTCTGGTCCTTGACAAACATTTAATATCATGTAACTCAGCAGATTCCAGTGGTACTAATAACTCAGTAGATTAGATGAGTCAAAAATAATACGTAACCTACCTACAATTTACCTATCGACAAAGTTAATAAAAATCGAGATGTATTGCGAATATAATATTATACCGGTTAAAATTTTTTGCTTATTTTAATTAGGACCATAGAACACAAAGATTTTAGTTATTTTTATATATTCTTTATATTCGTCAATATTACATTATCTACTGATTTAAAATAACCATAGAAAAACCAAGGTTCCTAAAATAATATTTTAGATTGCATTAATTAAAAACACAGTCCTTATTTAAATAATGTAAAATAATAATAAATATAGTTTTCTTAATTATTATTTCAGGTAGTATTCGGGCATTGCTGTCTATGTATTTAACGAGAATCTTAAATACATACTACTGAATAGATTTTCATCCCTTGAGAAGGCAAAACTGGTAGCTAGTAGTGTCTAATTATAGAAATGTATGTTACATTGTACCACAGGTAAGAGAATACCTATATATTGCACCATCCCTATAACTCTCATGAAAGCGCGAGCAATTGCAATAGTTTGTCAAAATATTAAATCTGTCAATAAGATGTACGATATGGCGCTGTAGAAAATATTAACATGCAAATATTATTTTTTTATATATAAGGTTAGGAATACCACGTAGGAAGCCAGGTAACTAAACTTATTTTACGAAAATATAGAATGGAAAACTTAAATTGATCACGTGACTATGCAGTTTGTACGAAGGTTTTCAAAATAACAGGAAATTGAATAACTTTCCCATTGATAATAATATAATCAATGGGAAAATTATTCAGTTTACTGAATCACTATCATTTGTTTCAGTATGCATACAAGTAGTATGCACATTTATTACACAGAATTATAGATATGTATTTACGGCCTTAAGACCTATACACGTATATTAAGCATTATTATAATTAACACCAAAATATTACTTTGGAAAACTGTACAGAAAAAAATTAAGTTGAAGATATGTAGATTTACAATACAAACTATATTTGCTATTGTTCAGTGCGCTATCGCTATCCGGTCCTTGACCTATGCGTATTCTGGGTCATCGTACAGGCACACATGGCGGAGCATACCTGCCATGACAATTGAAGAAACAAAACGAGACCGTACTTGAATTAAAATCGAAAAATCACAATAATAATAAGTTTTAGTAACGAAATTGATTTTATTTCAACTTTGCTTTCTTCAAAGTCATTAAAAAGTCTTTTCCGTTCATTCAATGGCTTTACTACAGGACCTCAAGTTACACAAGTCCCAGTTTTTTTTATAATTTACTAGCGACTGGCTTGTTTCATACTATATCACGCATGTACATAACGCATGTATATAAAGCTTCCTATTAAATCAATCTATCTATTGCCGAAAACTGCATTAAATTCGTTGCTCAATTTAAAATATATATATATGTATATTAATTAAATTAAAATATGTATATCTATATCCGGACCAAAATTAATATTGAGGGTGACGCAGCTGTAATCGAGTCACAACGCGAGCTTCAAAGCGTTCGTGGCCCGGGTCCCAACACCTTCATGAAGGAGGACTACTGGTTGAAGGGGGTGGTCTATCGGCGCTACCGAGGCAAATTGCCTTCATCAGTGCCGTAACCATAGAGATCATTTTATTTACCATAGAGATTCTTTTTATTATTATTTCTTATGTACCTATGTTAGTCTATAAGGTATGTATAATATGGGCCATATAGCCTGTATTAAATTAATAAATAAAAAAAATAGACTACGGCGACGACTTTGTTTTATACTATGAAAAGATTTGTTCCAAAGACTCATATTGATGAAGAACATTATGATTAATTTTCACATTAACCTCTTACATCTTCATTTAAAACTTCCTAAAAATTAGATTTATTATGTAATTATGATTACATGGTGCTCTGAGGTCTAGATGGATTTCAGTCTGAGGACTAGACAGCCAGACTTGTGATCTGAACTCAGTTACAGCGCCCCTCGCTGTAACTGAGTTCAAATCACAACACGAGACAAGACAAGTATTGCTGTATTGCTAGTTTTTATACTAAAAATCGTATTGTGAACATATATTTATACATACAGAATTTTGTTCAGGGTTAAGAGATGTTACGGATGAAACCACAATAAAATCTCTTTCATTACATACAATATATAATACTCGTACATATAACTAGAAATCGGGTAAAAATATTCTATCTATCTGTACTTACGAGTACCAAATTTAAATTAAATCCTTCAAGTAATTCTCATTTGAGAGCATAACAAACATCCATACGTCGTTACAAACTTCTGCGTTTGAAATATTTGTAGGATAATGTATTATGTATAATCTAATATATGATTATATGATTCGCGCAATATTTTGCCTGGGTGGTCCAGTACATGAGAACGAGACTGCGCCCCTGGCCCAATCCACTTCCTGGCCGTTCAGCCGTGCGCGCTTCCGCACATGCTGACATTATAATCTCGCTTACATAAAATCAACATGACAATGAAGCGTATACTTTTTATAAACGATCTTTCAAAATGTAGTTTATAATAATGTCATCTCTATTTTTTACTTTTTGGTATTAAAAACATGGCAAATAGACATGATTCGCTACGTCACGTATCGTCCCAAGATAAACAGAGTTTTATGGGTACTAGATAACTGATATAAATATTTAGATATTTTTTGTTTAAAATAGACCACTAAGGCTGGCGAATTGTTGATATATATAGGTATACATATACCTAATGGCTCGGAAGGCAGGCAATCAAGGTCAATTAACATATCATTGTGAATTTATCAGGATTTAATCACAATAGTTTCCAGGTGTAACCACATTGAAGTATATAACGTGAATTATTTAATAAGGCCTTCATTACATACTAATATTTTTTTCCCTCAGACATATATTTGGCCGTAAAAAGTTCTCATGTTTGTCCTGCTTGAATGCTATGCTATGAAAGTACTAATTTATGCTGTAATTTAATACAAAATATAATAAATTTAAGCAATGCCCAAAGTTCTACGATTATAGCCTAGCCCAAGGTAGGTATGGATTGATAGATTGTGTGTTAAAATATTCTAGATATTTCTATACTTATCTAATTATATATAAAAAATATCTAAAATGGCCACATCATAATGTGTGACGAGAGGCATTTAAAACAAATGGTAGGTATATTTGGTCAACAGAGAAACTATAAAAAATATTGTTGAAAGCGAATAAAAACATTCACGTGTAACACCTAAGGTAAGTGCCTAATTATTTATTAATGTCTATTACTCGTATACAAGAGCAATGAAACTAATTAAAGAAATCGAGTTACGGGTATAACTAAAAACATACTTAATGGTACATTATTACATAACTAAGTATCATATCATAGATTTCTGAGACACGTATTCTACACACTACGTAATAATAGCAAACATTTTAGTTGCATATTTATACACAAAAAAGAAGAGTAAATAATTTCATTCCGATAAAAGAACTCAAGAAAAGATCAAATAATAATAAAAGAACCTTGACCTCAGCTATTGTACCTACCTACACCCAAAGCATTTTCACAAGCTGTGAAATATCAGGAAATTTGTCCGTGCCATTTTCGTCAGTGACCTTTTCGACATGGGCGCCTGTAGCGATCGTCCAAATAGTTTCGGGACAAGCATTGTAAGGCGAAGACTACATGTTTAGTAAATATTGTGAACC